GCATGTTCATTTCCAACTTTCTGGTGCACGAGCTCAGTAACTCCGAACAAATCGTCCATCTGCTCCAGAGACATCCCTATTCACCGTGATCAGATGATTGGATATTTTCCGCGTTTTCGAGTTCAACTCACCTTTGGTGTCTGGAACAAAGAACCATACGAATACAAAGGAACAGGCGCAACAGGCGCTAAAGAATATGTAGGTTCTGCCTCGATCTGTCAGCAATCGTAGAGTTTAGGGTGTTGTCTGGCGTATATTGCAGTTTGACTCACCCGTACCCATTACTTCCCATATTTACCAACATATTTGGAACTGCTCGTGCAATGACGAAATTCCAAAGCCATTGGGAAGATGCTGCAATAGATACGTTCATTGAGCGCAGTCGTGCACTGGGAATTTCCGAAACGTAAATCCAAGGAGTCGCTCCCCATCCCATTTGGAAAAACACCGCAAATAAGTAGATGCACACAAGGGCAAAATATCCAGCGCCGGAGATCGGCACACCAGCTTTGGGGGGAGAGATGCGAACGTAAAGACCAATGTACATCATGTCGCAGGCAATCGCAATAGCTGTCCAGAGCAGAGATCGTCGTCGCCCGAGTGAATCGGCAAAGAAAATTAGATAGGTGGCACATGAGCACATTTTAATAACGCCATAGACGCCAGTTGCTAGTAGGCTAACCGAAGTCCCAGTAATTCCTATGTTCTTGAAGATGGTTGGTGCTTGGGGTCATCCGGTCAGCAACTTCGCAGCATAAAACTAGCTTCAAAGGTGTGAAGCTCACCATAGTAATTGATTGCGTTCGAACCAGTTAGATTCTGGAACATCATGAGAATAAAGCTGATCAGTGCTCTTTTTCTATTGCCGGGAATAGTCCACATTTCGCGTTGCAGGGCTCGCCAACCAGCACCGTTGATCAGCAGCCGCTCCCGCTCAAGTTGAATAGCGATGTCCCGAAATTCGTTCTGCACATAGGGATGGTCCTCTGGGAGATTGCGGACCAAAGAGAGCACCTTTTTGGCTTTTTCCCATTGGTCTTGTTTCGCAAGATAGCGAGGGGATTCGTTCATGAAAAACATGCCAACGATTAAAAGGACTGCTGGTATCCCTTGAGTTGCCAGGGGCACCATGTAGGAACTAGAGCCTGCAAGGTGGAGCGAGACGCCATAATCAATCCAAAAGGCAAGCATGACACCAAAGGTGTTGAAAAACTGAAATGTTCCAGTGAGCGCGCCGCGAAGCGCCCGAGGAGCATTCTCCGAGACGTAAAGAGGAGCAATCATAGAGCACGCTCCTGCACCGAGGCCAGCAATAAGCCTACATAGTGGTAAGGAGATGGTATCATGTTGAGAGCCGCACGGGAGACGCACCGAGCAGTGTACATGCACCCTAGGTAACCCGAGGCTGCGAATTGCATGATGATTCCCACCAGGCCGATAAAGGCTGAGACGATCAATGAAGCACGCCGTCCATATCTGTCAGCAAAAGGGTACGCCACTAGAGCGCCAAAGGTGCAGCCAAGCTGCAGGAAGGAGACAATGTTGGCCGAAAGTGTTGCGGATTGGTTTTTACTAAGGCCATCAAAGTGATACTTCCTGTTCATTTGTCAACTTTGGCCACATGGATATGCAAATGGCGGCAGACTTTGTAAAAGCAGGAAGAACGATGACACCCCCAATGATACCGGTATCCATGCCAAAGAGCATGCCAGACATACATGCCTGGTGAGATTGGAGTTAGCGTCTGCGCATGTAGAAGTTGAGAGCGCAGTAGAGAGAATTGAGCAGGCGACTGGATTCAAAAACACATACTGTCAACGTCAACACGAATGCTCTCCATCCATAAATCTCGACAGGATCTTCTTTCATAGCGTCATTGCGAATGATCTTCTTGAGGATAGAAGTCATATTGACACCTATCTCTAAATGCAGATAACCTGTTCAAGTGGGGTCCTTGCAAGGCACAAGAAGTAGCAACTTTGTGGGTGTGTGTGGAAGCGAAGTTTCAGGAGAACGATATGCAGATATAAGTCTAGAACAGCCCACTGGGGTAGGCCAGCCGAGAGCTATCACCTTGCAGAGAGAATAGACTTGGAATAGGATGATATCCACGGTAAATAGTAGCAGAAGTCAATCACCAGCCGGCGGAACCTCCGCATATCCCCGGGAATGAGAATTGTGCTTCGTCCTCATTCCCGTCCTAAACTGACTACTCAGCGAATCAATGCTGCAGGATGATTACATTCAGTTCAGGCTATTGAGGCGGAAAAGCAGTGCATTTCCGACATGCTCGGAAAAGGTCCGGTTTTATACTGAACATCCTGTTCATCTTTTGCGCCGAACTCCATTTACTTGATTGGCGGAGAATCTAAGATTTCTGGGGTCACGTCTGCAAGAGGGTCTCCGTGACTTGAGAATGGCAGGGGAATATGCTGCACTACAGGACACCTCAGCGGCGAGTGATCAGCTAATATTATGATCTCAAGCAAACAAAGAATCACATGTTTGCAACCAAATTTTCTCCCGAATGTGGTTGAATTCCACCGCCCGTCGGTCCAATCTAACGTCGCGTACGAAAACCCCATAAGCAAGGCATTTTGGTGGAAATGTCATTGGTGTGCTGTCAAGACAGTTTTTCACCTCAAGCAACAATCTGTAGCGTTTGGGAGATAGGATGAAGCGAATGCCACACACCAGTTTCCTATTCGTAATTATCCTGCAACAGACTTTGTTCCTGACCATAGTGGCGGCTATGCCTCTACTCTAAGTAAGCATTCCTAAAGTCTTGCCAATGCCACACTTCCTCTATACTATCCTACTCTTTCACAAGCTTCACTACCTGGGTCATTCCCTCATTTTGATTGAACTGGTGTAAACTCTTCCAACGCCTTCCGGAGTTGCTTCCCATCCCTTGGAACGAAGGCTACTTTAAACCTATGAGGCTGAGCGACCAGCTTTGTTGGATCAGCCGTGCCGCGAACTGGATCAATGTCCACGTCCCCCTCAAGTCTGATCTTGAAGCAGCTGATAAGTCGCATAATAATAAGATATAGCTCCCGATTCGCGAGTAAAAAGCCGGCACACATACGGTAACCGATGCCATATGTGAACAAAGGGGCGTCTGGTTGTTCTAGCCAGCGGCTTGGTCGAAAGACTTCAGGATCGTGCCACAACTTTCGGTCTGTGATCATCTTATTAGCGGAAGCCACACGACGGTATAATGGAATGAATGCGTACCCATATTGCAGGCGTGGGCATTCAAAAAGAATGTAGTTCCCTTGGGAAAGGTCATGCCATTATAGCTTACTTCTTTGATGGAAGTTCGTGGCAAATTCAGTCTGAGTACCGTATACATCCTCAAGCCTTCTTTTACAAGAGCCACGATGTACGGAATCTTCTGGTCGTCGTTCGCATCACAGAGGGAACACTCTGCTGGATACACCTCTCGAATCGCTCGGTAGGCAGTTTCTTGGATGTCCGCGCGTTTGGACAACACGGCTATAAGCCAGGCCAGGGCTGTGGTGACCGTATCGAGACCTCCAGATATCATAGTTAGATTTATGCTGGTAACTTCTTCTTCACTCAGTTGAATTTCTGGGTCATTAATGATTGTTGCCTGAATGCAGGGACTCTGGACACCCTTTTCCATCCGATCAAGAAGGCTTCGATTCAGTTGGTCAAGGTAGGCATCTTGTCGACGGCGTGTAGCCTTGGCTTTGATCGCCTTTTGGTTGAATGGGTTTAACCTCAAGAGTGGAATATAATCTTGTAAGTTGCCAGTCACACTTCTGAAACGGCTCACCTGGTCTTCCACTTCGATCACCTCATTGAAAAGCCTATCATCACGAGAATCCAACCGAATGCCCCAGTTAGTCGTCAATGCAAGACTTAAGCTGAGTCGCTGAGCACATGGATAACAATCAAAAGCTTTCTTTCCCCACTCGCCCTCGGCAAGTAAATCCCTGCAGAAGTCCTTGGTTTCGAGGTCGAGATGAGAGGCATATTTCTGCGCAGATGGGCGATTAAGCGCTGACGCTGTGACTTTACGGCGTCTTTTCAAGCTCTCGCTATATGGAGTAGTACCAACTGTAGTGGCCGTACCAGTGAGTACCTTCACGCAAATTAGCACTCGATCCAGGGTGTACCTCTTAGACACACTTTATGAAACGTGTAAAACTCTGGTCTCGAACTTAGGGCCGAAGTATGCTGCCCAAAAAGGCCTCTTGCTGCCTCCGCAGAGTTGACAATGATTATTGGCACATTCCCAAGTGACACTTGGTACACATCTCCATATTTCTGAGACCAAATTCTGTACTGTTCTGCAGCGTTCTTCCGGATGGACCAGAGGTTCCCAACCAACGGAAAGCCGACCGGTCCAGATATACCAGGCACTCTGGCGGAATAGCGGATGAATTCGTTGATGACAATATAAAACAATAGGACAAGGACCGTTAAAACCGCAACGGAGTGCACGACGTGTCCGAGGACCAATTCATTGATGGTATTGAAAGGGGAGACGGAATAAGCCATCCTGTTTGCATCCTATATCAAAGATGTACCTCACATACACGGCTAAGTAATGCAGCCAAGTACTACACTCCTACCAAGAAAGCAGCAGGAGTATACTTGAATTGATATAAAAGAATCGCGTGAGGATCTGGACCAGCCAAAGTGGGTTCAGGATTTCATCGCACAGCAAGGTCGTGCCGTTCCATCCAAGCAGCCATGCCAATGCCCAATGGTGATCTCGGTCTCGAATGGAGCCCGGCCGAGTTGACAAAATCCCATTCGACCAGGGAAAACTGCGCGCCGCGGAATGTCGCCGGATGGATCAGGAGAGAAATCCGATACCTTTTTCCCGCGTAAAAGCATTCGCCCAGGATCCTGCAAACAGGCATGTTCGCTAACAACAGAAAATATTTCCGAGCGTTCTGGTTATGTTTTTCCATCACATATCCGCCTCCAGCAAGTAAATTCTTCAGGTAGTTAAGCTTAACAATATGGATCCCGGGAGATCGCCGGGTCGGTTCCTGCTGCAGCCTGTTCCGTCGGTACAAGCCCTCAACTTGACATCCAGATTAGGTGGCTCTATTTCGCCAGAGAACCCCTACAGCTTTGACGATGAGATTACCGACTTCAGTCCTAGCCTGCAGGACTCGGGCATTATACGCAACAACAGGGTTAGCTCTGACCTACAAAATCCTGGGGTAGGGAGAACTTCACTAGGGGTCAATCGAAGCAGAAGGGGTGGCAGAAGTAAAAGCCAAAGAACCAAAGTCAGCAGAGCATGCGACGCTTGCAAACAGTGAGCAGGCCATACATACCGAGTATCATGCTACACCACTAACCATGGCTACAGAAAGAGGACACGTTGCTCGGGAGACCAACCTTGTGCGCGTTGCAGACACCTGGGCATTTCCTGCGACTACTTCGCTGTTTACACTAGGGGTCGCCTGCCCACTGTACCAACTTCTTCGGCAGCTGCCCAGAGCGAGGCCCGCCTCAGTCCACGGCGTGGATTAAATAATATCACCTCCGTACTGAATCAAGGCTCTCTTGTGACACAGATCGATCATCTTGCGGACAAATCTGATGGGCGCTCTGGACACACAGCACATGTCTCATCACGAAACTCGCCAGTCCCAAGTGCGAATATTGGCGGCCAATATCATGGACCCTCATCTCCGATCACTTTTTTGGAAAGAGCCTGGAAGCGGCTCAGGGAGAATCACGCCTCAAGTACATCGAGGGCGCTGGATAAGGAGACGTCCGCCGAAAGGTCTATCTTAGTGACGGATGACGGTTGCGAGTTGCGTCTCTCAGACGAGGCCTTCCACATGCCCTCTAAATCTCATGCATATGAGTTAGTCGGCAGATATTTTGAACTCTCCACTCCTTTCTTTCAATTCCTCCACCGTGGCACAGTGGCGGCTTTTGTCGAAGCACTTTACCATCAATCAAGCGAGCACCGAACTGGTCAAGAAGCTATATCTCAAGGCCAGCTCACACTCTTGCTCATGATTTTTGCGGTCGCCACTTTTGATAAGGGCGAAGATATTGCGTCCGAGGAGTCCTTGAACTATAGGCAAAGGTACTCGAAGCGAGCAACCTCCTTATCAGAACCTCGCTAACTCCTCGAGTTCCGGTGAATTTTTCCTTGAAGCTGCGCAACGACGTTTACAAAGAGAACGTGGAGCACCAACTCTTGATTCAGTTCAGGCAAGGCTTGTTGAATGTCTCCATCTGTTATCAACCCGATACGCGAATGAAGTCTACTCGAAGTTCGGAACCACAGTGGCATTGATCATCACCCTAGGTCTCCATCGTCGCAAGCGCCCCGGAGGCTACCGATCGGAAATGGGAGCTGTTGAGCACGAATGCCGCAAACGTACCTTCTGGGCTGCCTATGTTCTAGATAGGTATCTAAGCGTCATGGGTGGCCGGCCGCGGAATCTCCAAGATTTCGACACTGATCAGGACTTTCCGGCAAGAGTACACGACGATGAATTAACCTCCGAAAGCATAAAATCCCGAGATGATCAGTTCGACTGTGAGATGGACGCTCCAATTATGCATATCAAGTACCCTCTTCCCTTGCCACGGGCGTAAAGGGAGCATATCCTAACTATGAGTTCAGACTTGCCCGAATCAGTGCCCAAAGCTCTGCTCAGGTCTACCCTCTAAGGCGAATAAGTCAAGACGAAAGGCTCTTACAAGCCCAGCAAATCACTGCGGACCTTGCAGCATGGAAAGCACAGCTGCCGCTGTTCCTTGGAATGATCCCCGCCTCAAGCCTCATCCCTAAGTTTCAACGACAATCCGTGACTTTACGTCTCGCACATGCCCACGCGGTTATTCACGCCAACAGACCGTTCCTCTTGAGCAATTTTGCAAATCCATCGAATCCAACTGATTTACCACAACAGGGCGTCAGCTACATTCACGACTGTGTCACCGCAGCTCGCAGCATTGTCGATATTCTGGAAAACTTCGATGGCAACGGCATACCTTTCCATGCCTGGTGGTTCACCCAGTACGTCTCTTTCTGTGCCGTAGCAGTCATCTATATCTACACAATTCAACAACACCAGAAGGTGATCTCGACGCCAACAGCCCTTGTTTCGAATAAGACATCCTGTCGAACATCATTTCAAGCCTCGAGCAAAGAGAGAGATTATTTTGCGATCGCAGAGCACTGCCAGGAGAGGCTTGCAGCGGCTGCCAGAGATAATTCACCGGGGAAACGGTATGCTATCGTTTTGGAGGAGTTACGGCAGGAAACCTGCCGGCACCTTTCGACATCAAGGTCGCCGTATGGCGAAGATGTGGATACTGCTTCACGCAGAATAGAACAATCTTCTCAAGTATCCGGCATGCACGATAGTTGGATGGCCGAAACCGACACAGATTTCACGCATATCTTTGATGATCTAGGCACGATGGATTGGGTTGCACATTTGCACCACATGGTAAGCCCTTCGGCTTTTGCATTATATTGCGTGGAGAACTAAGCATAAGAGGGACAGCAGGAGATGCAGCCTCTCGATGCTCAGCCAGAGGAAAATGGCACAAATCCTTGAATCGAGACATCGAATGTGTAAAGAGGCGTAAAAACCACTAGGCGAGAATACTTGTCTGTCTCGGGAATGCAGTCTGTCGGCATACTTGCACCTGTCGTCTGAAGGAAAGGGCTTGATGTTGATGTTGCGGATTCTAGCCCTTATTCCTCACATCCTCCATGCGATGCCCTGCACGATAAGCCCAACAAAACCCACAACAAAAACGCCCAACACAGTCCTATTCAACCTTGTCTCCTCCACGATCCGCCGAATCTTGGTGACTTCACCACCTGTTGCGAATGTGTCGACCTCACTCCCTGCCATTCCAAACGCATGATAATCTGCCCACTTCACTGTTGCCAAATTTTTCTGGTAATCAATGGCCGTTCCTGCCCAGTTGTTCGTAATGATCCCGTCTGCCCGTTTCCACCAGCTGTTACAATTGGGATCTGCGAACGATGTCTTCCGCAATTCCGTTTGCAGGTCATTCCAATATCTCAACGACTTCTCCTCCGAAGGACAGAGTGCCATTCTCCCCCCCTTGCGTCTGGCCTGCAGAATTTTGTTGACAAGTACTGAGATGTACTTTGTCTGGGCCTCGATGACTAGGATCAAAGAATTGTGAGAGATATTCGTATTTGGACCATACAACATGCCAAAATTCGGAAGATCTGGCACAGTCACACCTTTGTAGGCATAAGCAGCCTTTGCCCAGATCTCCTCCAACGGCCTACCGTCTCGCCCAATGATTTTGATCGGTGACAAGAACGAAAACGTGTCAAATCCCGTCGCCAGCACGATCAAGTCGAACTTTTCCGCCGAGTCATGCCCTTCGAATCTGATCCCATCTATTGTAAAGCGCTCAATTTTGTCAGTCTCCAGCTTCACATTCTTCTGCAGAAGGGTAGGATAGTAGTCGTCGCTAATCACCGTCCTTTTGCATCCGGGGTGGTAGTTGGGCGATAGCTTTTCCCAAAGATCAGGACGATTAGGCAGCTGTTCTCTCAATAGATTGTAGTTCATAGACCTCATAAGATCAGCATAAGCAGAATCGGATCGGGTGACAGCGGAGTGGAAAGACTCCCGGAAATCCATCGCCTCTGCGCGCACTCGCCAGCGCGCTGGTGGGAAATATGTGAACAGCATTTGCATCCAGTCAGAGATTTTCGTATCATGGCGTGGGATAACCCAAGCCGGCGTTCTTTGACAGATGGTAAGTTGAGATGCCAGTTTTGCGACTTTCGGGGCAATCTGGGCAGTAGTTGCACCTGCGATGTGTCAGAGAAGTAGGCAGCAGTCCAATCTCACTCACCGGTCCCAATGATAGCAATCCGCTTTCCTTTCAAATCATAGCTCCAATCCCACCGGGCAGAATGCATGATTTTCCCCTGATAATCCGCGTACCCTTGAACATCAATCCCTTTGGGTTTGTTGAGCTGGCCAGTTGCAGCAACCAGAAAGTCGCTGGTGATTTTGTAGGAGGGAGTGAATTCGGAGTCTTTCCCTCCGCCTACAGTCACCGTAGTCTCCCATTGGAGGGTTTTATCGTTCCAGATGGCGGCCTCCACGGTCGTGTGAAACCTCGTAAATTTGTAAAGACCATATTTTTGAGCAACATCGGTTAGGTAATCCTACGTCCCCATCAGTATATCAGCCTCACAAGTGAGGAACGCACTCACCAAGATCTCTTCCTGACCGGGATACCGACGAGACCATTTAGGGTTCTGGGCAAAGGAATACGAGTAAAGCACGCTGAAGACATCGCAACAACAGCCGGGAAATTTGTTATCTCTCCTGAATCCTATTAGTGCATTCTTTAATATCAGTCGAGGTAGTCACCATGTGCCGCCGAAACCGCCTCCCTTTTCCACTATTATAATGTTCTTCATCTTCCGGTTGACTAAGAGATCAATGGCCATACATATTCCTGATATGCCGCCACCGACAATGACAACCGCGGCTCTTGTAAAGTTGTGAGTACCGTGCAGCGTACCGGCCCATTCTTCGTCATAAATTTCATTTTCTCGCGGATAGTATGAAGGCAGATACCCGTTTTTGGATGACATTTTGAGCCTGTAGAGATGTAGATTGACAGAAAAGCAGAAAAATAGGTCAGCAGCCAACACGGTATATAAATCGACTGAGTTATCACCATTAATCGCAATGCAGAAGTAAACGGAGGATCGATTGCGTTTGCTGTTTCCGGTCCGCTGGCTCTGGACAAGCCCCCAGTGATACGCAATGCGGTAGCTCCTCCATCACCGCGCGGTTCGTTTCTCGGTATCTTGTAAGTTGCAGTTGGGCACTGATGCCGGAAAAGGAAGCAGCCCCAGCAGGTATTCGGTTTTGGGGGATATTGCCTGGAGTGTTTAGCATGCCAAAAGAGCAAAGCCAGAACTTAGATATGATTGGCCAGTCGTACGCGAGTTGAAGGCCAATCGGTGCATTTAATTGATTTTCGCAACTATCCCCAGGGAAGTAGCTGGCTGGAAATCCGGCTCCCGCGATCTCCACCCTTCTGTGGGCGTGGCGATGCCTCGGGAGCCACACTGGAATGCTCCAGGACGCATGGTCGACGATAGATTGCCGCGTGCGCCCAACGGTAGCGCAATAGTAGTACCCCTGACATTGTCATCCATTGCATGCTTTGCAGTCTAGACAACTGCCATATTGGTAGACTGCTGGAGCTGATAGTCGGTAGGAGAGCGAATTCGAACCGTCTCAGTTACCTTTGTGTATCTTCCACAGCAACTGCTAGAACTTCACAACCGCGGGATTGGCATAAAGAAGGAAGACAATGTGATCTGATGATAGGTTTGCGTGCCTTCTTCCAAGAACGCACCGACTCCCCGACCGTATTTGACGTTCGGTAGTCCCGTGGGACTACCGGGAGCAGCCTTTTCCTTTGCCGTTCTCAGAGCCTTCAAGGGCAGATAGACAGACGCTGTTTTTACGTCGGCACCCAAGGACGGGTCATAGGGCCAGTTGACAAAGAAAATTTGAATCTTGCCAGTATCCCAATATTGATGATCCTCCCAGATGCGCAATCTTTGAGATTCTGGAACATCGCTTGCTCCTGTCGCATTGACACCATTTTCTTCAAGTTCCATCAGTGCCTGTAAGATGGTGCTACCGGCACAACCCTGCAAGTCCCCTTCAGTCCTATTTGTCTGTGCTAGTAAATCGATAGCAGACCTTCGAATAGCTGGATCGCGGCATCTTCCAGCAACAAAGGCCAACGTATCGATCACACCGGAGTCGATTCCAAAGGAGGTCCTCCTAGGAGCTCGAACAGGGTCGCCGATCGCGTCCTTGTAAAGGTCAATAATCTCTGCGAATTTGCCAACATGTCGGTCGTAATTGCATTCCTCACTCGTCCCGAGGGTATCGAAAAGAATGGAGGCGACCAATGCAGCGGCTCTGAGGAGCTTCTTAGATGTTATCAGGGCCCCGTATCGCTCACGCGCGGTGATTCCAGTGTCATCGAGAGCCGCATTCCAGTTTGCCAGCAAAGCCTGTACCTGTGAGCGCTGTTCACCGAGTAAGAACGATGGGTTAATATTTTCTTGTGCCCAATCCACAATCTCTTCGAGCTTGTTGCGCGCCTCAAAGAGGTTTCCAAAGCAGTAAGGAATATCCGGCAGCGTCAGTCGATGCTCTATTTTGTTTCTTTTGATCGCCGCGCTGAGGGCCAAAGCGGAAGGGATGTCGACGATACTGCAGAACCTCATGCGCAACCGTTCGATAATGGGCCGAAGGAAGTTGTTGAGGACAGTCTTCTCGCTGTCAGAAAGCATGAGTTCGCCGGATCCTAGTCTTTTGTCGATATCCATGGTCAAGCTATGTCCGGATTTGAGTAGCTGATACGCGGTATGGCTGTCCTGAAGGTTCTGCAAACAAATGAAAATGACACAGGAGATCAGAGTTGCGATATCCGACATCGCAGTTTCATACGCCATTCGGGAAGCCTTGCTGCTTTGATGTAGAGCCAGTTCCTGCAAGTTGGAACATTCGTCTGACTCTCCGTCCACCTCTGAGGATTCATGAAGCGCACCGAGAGCAACTACTCCGTGAAGTATAGATCGGTTCATGTGACATGCTTGGAGGATAAGTTTGTTCCAGAATGTTGCGTCCCTCCAGCCGGACCACTCCGGTGCCGTTCTCTGGCAGAAGAAGACCAGACTGCGCAACTCCTGAGGTTCAAGTCCTGGGAACGTGCTCACGGCCTGTAAAATGCGGTTTGAATAAGTGTTTGGAGATCGGATGGTTGGAGATAGAGAATCCGAGAGTAAAGAACGATGGTGGTCAGGACTATGAACTTGTACATTTGTATCCAGCCGAAGATCTGGTTGTCTTAGTGCGACAGGTGTAGATTCAACCTTTGAGTGATCCTTTCGTTTGTTTTTGTGAAAGGATTTGTCAACTGTCGGTGCAGATTTGGCGGCCGTATCTTGGGCAGCGGCCCTGGCTCTCAGCTGTCTTTCGTGCTGGACATGTTTGCGAATCTGCCTAGTTTCGGCTTTTGAGCTTCGTGAGAGAACGGCCGAGCCGCTGTCTTTATTAATCCAGAGGAGGGATTCCGGCATCTTGCTGACGGAGTAGCCACGGCAAAGGCTGGAATTGGTAGATATTGAGTGCTTGCCCCACGAGAAGGCAGGCGAATTGAAAGGGGCGAGCAATATCAAGAAGCGATGGAACTTGGATTGCGGAAGATGGTTAATTGCTGTAACAGGATGCTGGTGATCAGCGGCATTATTGTCATTATCGTATTGCGATGAAGCAGGCCTTGTAGCTCCTTTCTGACCGGTTAGGCCGCCTTTGGAATTGTCAACGGGTAACAACAGGTTGAACAACCGAGAGGTTTACTTGTATCGGGACCTCGGAGGCAGGATCGACCGTTTCGAACCGACTCCCACAGACCATGGCTTTGCCAAATGCCAGGGTGCTTGGGGTTGGGGTTATGATGATGGGGTGCATTCTTTTGTAAGGGAAAGTTTTGTGGGCGCTCGAGCCGTAGGTGAGGGGGATGAACCTCCTTGCCTGGGGGGACCAAGAGAATAGGTGGACACAACCATCGGAACTATAGCCCTCTGCAGCCTAGTTGGTCGGCTAGACATGACGCTTCAGCTTGCTGTTATTGTTCGTCGCCTATCGCTGAATAATGCCTCCAGAGTGTGGGGCCAATGCGACTTGCTACGCTGCTGGGTATGCCCAGCAGACCAGACTCTTGACAAATTCAGTTTGGTGTTGCAGCTGGAGGAGGGCGACGCGCATTGCAAAGGGCTCAGCTGGACGCTCCCTGGACTCTTGTAACTCGTGAGACAAACTAGCTACACTTCCGACTTGATCTCTGTCGCCTCCATCTCCTGCTTCCCCTCGCTACTACTATGTGCAGATTGGCCGTCAAGAATCTCTGCACCTTCGCCGGTGTAATGCACATTGATGCGAGGCCCCTTGAACCACTTTCGGCCGTCGATCGCATACCACGACATGGCCAAAAACATGGAGCCCCCATAAATGAGACAGGTCCAGTTCATCGTCAATGGAGTTAGGTCTTTGCCCTTTACCGCCGGGAAGCAAAGAGCCGGAACAATCAGCAACCACCAACCAAAGGCAACAGCTCCTAGCGGCTTCGAGTATCTTCCAAGATTCCAAGGTCCTGCAGAATACTGAATCAGCAATTGGTGATGTGATTTTGCGGACCATCTTACCTGGTTTGAATCTGCCGTGGTCGAAGAATAACTTCAACGCTACAGGAGTCGTGAATGCCGTATACTGGGCAATAGCACCAATGCTGAATACCGCGCCAATAGCGACAGGACTGGCAAACATCAACAGCCCGAGCAGGGCTGCAACTAATAGAACGCCCCAGGTCGCATAAACTGGTGTCCTGGTCTTCGGATGGACCTGACTCCACCACCTGGATCCCACGATAGCGCCGTCCCGAGAATATGCGAAGATCACACGAGTCGCAGTCACAGTGCAACCAACTCCGACAAAAAACTGAGCAATGATGTTGAGAGAGAACATGGCAAGGCCCGCTTTTTTGCCCAAAACCTGCAGACACAAGCTTCCGAATGGTTGTCCATATTGGCCAGCAACGACGTCGGTGATATCCTGGACGCAATAGACGATGACCAACATTATGGCAAATCCAAGACATAGACCCGACTGCGCCGTCATGGCAATGGCTCTGGGGGAAGCAATGTTGGCATTACTGCATTCCTCTGAGAGATGGAATGGGGCGTCATAGCCAGACAGAGTCCAGATTGTGGTGAGAAAGCCCATGATGGTGGACCAGCCAATCGGCCACTCGGTCCCGTTGGGAAAACTTGTCCAGACGTAGTGACTGTGGTTTGTCTTTGGGTGGTTGATCGAACCAACTGGGAACCATATGACGAAGATAAGTATGACAATGAGATTCCATATTGTTCCAATTTTGTTGACCCAGCCGATGAACCAGGTTGACTGCATTGTGATGAGACCATTGATGACGAGGATGGCGAGCAATGTTAGGTATATGTGCCATGTCTGCGGCTCGTAGTCGGGATAAGCAATCATGCCACAAGTAACTAACATGGAGGCCAGAGCGTAGTTGACAGAGCATGGGCCAGTGACGAAGCCGCAGAAATTGGACCAGCCAACAAACCAGGACGCTAGAGGACCCCATCCTTCAGGCGCAAGAACGGCGGAGGCGTAGTAAAGACCGCCAGCGGTAGGCATGCTTGAACACAATTCGGCCATGGTGTAGGCGGTGGCCTGGATGAAAAGCGACGCAATGAGCCATCCCCAAATGGCGCCACCCGTTCCGGAATAACCTAAGCTGTAACCAATCGTAGATGCAATAGAAGGTAAAAGGCCTAGAACGGAGAATGACACTGAGAAGGATTCCCATATTGTGAAGTCTCTGACATTCGATCAGCAGGGTGGCCTCCGGGAAAAGAGTTAGGCACAGACCTCTTGAATTCTTGTTTATAACCCAAGGCACCCAAAGTCACCTCGTCATGGCTGGCGCCTTCTTCCAAGAGGGCATGAGTGCCGCGATTGGCGAGGACGGATGTCACGCCAACAGCGCTCTCGTCGATGACAGTCACAGATTGCTTGCGAGGGGCCTCCATTCTCGCAGAAGCTCACAGCTTGGTAAATCACGATAACTTCCACTGTGGAAATCGAGTGCAAATCAGGGGGGAATGAGCAGGTCTTTATTGCCTTTCCCATCCAAGCGTCGGTCACCATCGTTGGTTCTTAGCGAGGCATGCATGATAAGATGGTCTCCACCAGTGGCCCAATATCCTGGGAACAGAACTACCGAGATAACTCGTGGTGAATCAAGCTATGTAGCTTCCCATCAGAACGCAGGGACACCATCTCTCGAACTAGCAGGAGCATATTAAGGCCGCGGCCCTGTTGGTAATGAACGACACCCGGGAGACGGCCGCTCTGACTCCAGGTCCATGGGTCGGATGATAGGTGGAATACCAATAGGAGCTCGAGTGCCTGTGCTGGCCTTATCAGTGCCTTGTTCCTAGAGTCGATGTCTAGTGGCGTCGTCATGGCCAATAGCTGGCGTCAAGAGGTGGTCTCCAGCGGGCAAGACTGTCACTCGACAGACCCTGGAGACCCTGCAGAGAGTCGAAGAAAAGAACATGAGATCTTGATTTGCTGAGACTGAGGGAGAAAGATAGGCATGCAGTGTAGCGTTGGATGGTGTTGAGCTTGTCGAACCCATTTCCTTGGCAAGCAGCAATGCGAGCAAAGCGTCTCGGAAACCCTGCGCGTTTCTGGGGACGCCTTATCAGGGTTTGACAAAGATCGGGCTAGTACACGTGGCAAAGTCAATGTGACAAGTCCGTGATTGATCTCTCGAACCGATTCCACATGGGCAAGTATAACATATGCACAAGAAGCTCGCCGTTAGTACAAATAACGTTGCGGCGGGATTTGTCCGGCCACAGCGCCAGAGCGTATCAACAACGCGGGGAAGGATAAAAAAGCTTCGTAATACAATAAAGAAGTTGGCGACCATCCCGTCTCGCAACATAGGTGCTTCACAGGTCGCCAGTTATTACAAACATCTTGGAGTCCCATTTGAAAATCCCGGAATAGCTATGGTTTGAAATATTCGGCTGCACGTAGGGCCGGCAAAGGGTAACGAGATGAGGGAGTAGGACAAGTGAGGGCGACTCAACGCAAATCAAGAGAATAGGAGGTTTTATGTGGAGAGGCAGCCAGCAGAAAGACCACCAACACAAGATAACGACGATTAAATGGACAGAGGACAGAGTCGTGATGAAGATCAGCGATTGTGCTCCTGCGAGAACCGCCGGCCTACACTATACTGGAAACACAGAGTGCTGGAGGTAACTCCGTAGAAACAACCGGCCACGACGTACGCCTCAATTTGTGGAAAGGAATCCTTTCTTGGAGACGCGATGATGTTGTGGTGGTGAAAAGTACGAGGCACATGCTGGTCGGGCAGATGCTCCGTACCTTGTCCCTACATAGCAATTGCTGCGTAGCCTCAATCACGGGTTTGGCTGTTCCAGCTCCTGCAGGACTAGACGATCTGAGACAAAGGGGCATGTACCTCTGAAACAGGTCGAAGGTTGGACCACAGTGGCTTCTGGAGGAAGGAGGTTTGAATCTGCGACTAATTGAGCTTCACAGTACAGCGCGGCAACGGGTCAAGCACCAGCGACAAGAAATAGTAAGTTTGGGATGTGATGCACGCCGGAGAGGACGCGCAAGTATGTACTCAGCACTCGGTCTTCCGCGCTCCATACCGCGGACCTCGAACTGTGAGCCGCATAACAGCAGACTGAGGAGCAAATCTGGCGGCGAAAAAGAAAAATCTACCTACCAGCATGTAAATCAGTACCGGGTATGGCAGCATTATCGCTGACAAGGACACTAAGGAGTGGTTGGGTGCTGATCTGACCTTGGTGAATATCGATAACGAGCACTAAAGCCCTAGCAACGACCCTTGGGCCGGCCTGGTGAGCCCCCCCAAAAAACTGGTCCAGACCCCAAATGTCCAAGGCATCGCTTTGGGACGGGCCTCCCCCTGTCTTCCAAGTGGGCTTATGCGGGTTTGTTCCAGGGCCTTGATGTTGAGCGGGTCCATTCCAGCCAACCTTTTTCCTCGTTAACCAACGCCCTTAGCGCTAACACAAGCCACAGCTGCGTCAGTGGTTGGTAGATCTGACTTTCGCATGTCCATTGTCGACTAGCCAGTACCCTATTCAGCTCCTCCAGGTTTCTTCCCTAACTTCCTGTCTGCACTACATAGCGAGCACAGAATCAGCATCTCACATCACTGCCGCTTCCACCTTCTCAGATTTCACGCTGATACCTCGCCTCGAACGTGGCGCCTGCGTCACAGTCCGAATTTCCCCAGTCGTACGCCCAACCAGCACCTCAATCCCTCATCCACGAATTTGTCTGCGCCTCGGACGAAAGCCAACCCTCACGCACGCCGATAAACGAAACCCCCGGAGAATCTTTACCAGCCTTACCTTCGCAAACTCATATTACCCTCAATACCTCGTACACCACTGCACCTTGAAGCATCTTAAGAAAGACCGTAGCCTCCTATACGACCCTCACGAATAGGACTTACCAGTGCCCGATGGCCACGATCTCGTAACGTCATCCTGCCTCGGTAGCCGCTTTGTGCGGTTCTTTCAACCACATCCCTCCGTAACATGGAAAATGTACCTCCGCAGGTATGGGCAGTCGCTCACACGTTGATCGCCCGCAATGAAACGACCAATTCAACCTCCACGAGCAATGCCGATACAGCTAGCCGTCCGCCAGTCTACAAGGCAATCGGTCTCAGTCTCGCTGTGGCTTCAGGGCTCTTCATTGGGACCTCTTTTGTGCTGAAAAAGACCGGACTGCTTAGAGCGAATGCCAAATACAACGAGGAAGCAGGAGAGGGCTATGGCTACCTGAAGAATTTCTATTGGTGGGGAGGCATGACACTGATGATTGTGGGCGAAATCTGTAACTTCGTCGCCTATGCCTTCGTCGATGCCATCCTCGTGACACCGCTCGGTGCGCTGAGCGTTGTGGTCACGACCATTCTATCGGCCATCTTTCTCAAGGAGCGCCTGAGCTTTGTCGGTAAGGTTGGCTGTTTCAATTGCATCGTTGGCAGCATTGTCATCGTCCTCAACGCCCCAGAGCAAAGCGCCGTTGCCGATATCCAAGAAATGCAGCACTTCGTCATCGCGCCCGGCTTTCTCAGCTATACCGGTGTCGTGATTTTAGCATGTATATTTATCGCCATGTGGGCAGGGCCACGCTACGGCAAGAAAAGCATGCTGGTCTATCTCAGTATTTGCAGCTTGATCGGCGGTCTGAGTGTCGTGGCAACCCAGGGTTTAGGGAGTGCAGTCGTGGCCCAAGCCGGCGGAAAACCTCAGTTCAATCAATGGTTTCTCTACGTTTTACTGGCCTTTGTGGTTGCGACACTGCTGACTGAAATCATTTACCTCAATGTAAGTATACTTCTTCCCAAACACTGCTCGGCGCCTGACATCACCTAGAAAGCATTGAATATTTTCAACGCCGCCCTCGTCACCCCGACCTACTATGTCATCTTCACCAGCGCCACAATCATTACTTCTGCGATCCTTTTCCGGGGCTTCAAGGGCACAGCCGTATCTATCACGACTGTGATCATGGGCTTCTTCCAAATATGTGCTGGAGTTGTCCTCCTACAAATGTCCAAATCCGCAAAAGACGTTCCAGACGCGGCCGTTTTCAAGGGTGATCTCAACCAAGTCAGGGAAATTGCGGAGGTTGAGCAGCCAGAAACCGAGCCCAAAGCCGATGCTATTCGTGGCACCGCGGCTTTGATCAGGAGAATCTCTGTCTCTCGGCAGAAGATGGAACAAGAGGAAGCTAGACGGCTGCGCGAAGACAAACTTAAGGATCAACTCGAGCCGCTTCGCGAGAACGAGATTGTGGAATGGGATGGCCTCCGCCGCCGCAAAACAGTTATCGGCGAACCTGGTGCAGTTGTTCGAAGAAAGACCGTTCACCCACCGCTGGGAATGTCGCATATCCCAGATCCCAATCAGGAAGAGGAGCACGAACCGGGATTTTTTGAAACTCTGCGCAGCCGTGCACAGAGCGTAATCCGTCACCCCAGTCCCCGGCACCATGCGACCATGCCGGAAGATTCTCTACGGAGCCCAATACATCCCGTTGCCTTGACAGACATCAAGGTTGTCTCATCCAAAGCCGAGTCACCCATCATCCCCTACGGCCCGGGGAGCCTCGAAGATGCCCAAGAACGGATTTACGGACTCCCTCCAGGGCAGCTAAAGGAACGGGCCATCACCATCTCAGCTCAACCCTCGCCCCGTTCCAAACCCCTGCCCGCCAAGCCGTCATCATCCCCTTCACTCAAACCAGCACACCAAGCAAGACGGCAATTCTCTTTCACCAACTTCCTTCGACCAGGCTCACGCACCCCCGACGTAGATCCCATGGCTCCACGGCCAAATCTTTCGCACCGTACCAGCAGCCATGAACAGAGACGTGCAATGAAGAACGCATCAGAGGAGGAAAGACTGGGACTTGTCAAGGGTGATTCTCACGTTGCATTGCTCGAGCAGGAATCGTCTCGCTCACCTGAGCACCAATCTCAATCCTTCTCTTATGCCCACCCTAGTTCTCATTCTCAGACCAGCTCAACTTCAAGCGCTGATGGTTATTATCCTTATCAATACCCTTCTCCTCCTCAACATTCTCTGTCATATTCTGACGAGGTTGATGGTTGGCAGATGATGAGCACGGCGAGTCCGCCGGACGAGACGACCCGAGCTTCGACACCGCCGCCACCGGCGACGGCAAGCGGCCGGCGACGGCCCAGTCCCCCGAGGATATATCATCCCCCACCTTTGCTCACGAGGAATTCGCCTCCAATCGACAACGAGGAACGTCCAATTCCGGGGACGATGGTGGGCGGAGGGTCGACACAGGCCAGAGCCATGCTAGCAGCGTCAGACCGTTCTCCGAATACATCGACGAGCCCGCCGAGGAGCCATCAAGACACTGGTTTGCACAGGACAGGTGGAGAAGGTCACCTAGCTCGAGTTTCCGAGGACGCAAGAGTGAATAATGCCTACAACTACGAATCGACCCAGACAGAGAGCATCGAAGCCGAGGCCACCCGAAGACGATTTGAGGAACAGAGCAAAAGGGAAAGAGAAGAGAGGCGGTTGAGAGCCACCGGACGACGGCAGAGCTGGAAGCCTGTCGATCCTGAAGGAGGCAGTTTCATCTAGAAGTCGGAGTGTTGTTTGGATTACGCAGCTGAGCCTGTTTTGGTAACAACGAAATACCCACGACGTTTGGCACGCATGGAAATGGACCCTTATGACCGATAGAAGAGAGGCATTGACCAGTCTAGCTCAAAAAGCTGGACCGCAACCTCAAGTTATTGTACATGTATGATACTACTCAGTAGGCTGAATACAGTACTTGTCCTACTTGCAAAACTGCCTTCGCTACCTCCACCACGCCGTCCGATTAAGCCTCCTAGCTCCACGTGCGATTCATTCTGATGCCAGTCTGCCACTTCATCTTCCATCGAATGGCGCCGCACGGGGTACCTGTAGGTCAACGTCATAGGCTGTGGCGGTGCACGCGCCCGCAAGAGATGTGCCTGACACTGACCTGTTGGTGCTGCCAACCCAGGATGATCGTTGCCGGCCAGTGTTAATTCCGAGTGTCCGTAGATTCGGCCTGCTCGGACGGAGAACTGGACAAAGTTCACGCCACTAAATAATGCATTGACAGCCTGCTCTGCCTCTTCTTGTTCTTTTCTCGGATTGGGAGCAGGCACTCCTGGCCTGCATTTACATGTGTCAGCGACGCTGGACCGCCCGAAATGGTTGAATCTCCCGCATCCGAAGCATCCCAAGAGCAAGAGTCCGCCGATGAGTCGACTGCGGCACATCCGCCTGCTAAAGCGCCTGCGGTCAAGGACAAAGAATGTCAATACTGTCACCAGCAGTTCACCTCCTCGTCGCTCGGCCGCCATCTCGACCAATTCATCTCTAAAAAGAAACCCGACGGAATCCATGATGTCGAGGAGATCCGGAGACTACGAGGAGGCATCACGCGCCGCACAGCGAGAAGCAGCAAGCGGGACAAGGACAAGAATGAGCATGAAGATGCTCGCTCATCACAGGCATCTCCAGGCCCCAGTATCGGTCCCCAACCGGGCACTCTCATCTCGTCTGCCGTTGAACTCAACCGCATTCCTCCTGGCGGCATGCATGTGCGCCTGAACAGGCTCAATTGGCAGGCTACGGGCGTCATTACAGATCCTACCACCCTCGACTCGCCCGGCACGACTGCTGCTGCCGCCGCCGCCCCTCCTACTCCTGCCATCGTCTCTAGTCCATCTGGGACCAAGCGCAGTTTTTCTGTCTACGCCCAAGACCTCAATACCAACAGCAATGCCGAAACAACTCGCGCTCTCGAACTCGCCCTACGCGAAGTCCTCGACTCTCTCCGTGCGGCCACAAAGAATGCCTCTCCCAAACCCTCCCCCTTCAAATTCGACGTCCAGTCACAGACATTTCCCTCTCTATGCCTGAAGGTCCTGCCTGCGCCAGCCACCTTGTTCCAAGCTTCTCCTTTCTCAACACCGCAATCCATCCCGATCAACCCACCCGGTCCTGATCAACTCGTCCCTCTGCGGCAATTGCTGACCTCTACCATCGATCACTGGAAATGGCAGACACTGCGACTTGCGCAACCCACGACTTCCAACATAGCGGAAGAGGCCGACTTTCTCACACGAAGCGCGGCACAATGGACCGAATCGACCCTTTCGCATCTTGAGACAAGCTATCAGAATTGGATGGCTCATCCAATCGAGATTCGCAATCTACTGTGGCAGGTGGAATTGCTGAGGTCCTACAATTCGGAGCAACAAAAAGTGCAGGAGATGGAAGAAAGGTTAGAGAGGTTACAGCAAGAGGCAAATCAGTTACAGCAACAAGTGGAATACCTCTCCCGATGTCAGTGGCCACGTGAGATGGCGCTGTGGCCGCCTGAGCGTCGGACGTTTGGGGCTTCTATGCGCGAAGAGTTGCGACTAATGACCCTGAATAAAGTGCCCGCCAGATCAGTCGGACCCGACGCGCCCGAAGAGATGGTCACTCTGCCCACGGAGAATATCAATACGAGGCAGGGTGACAAGTGGGACTTTGACAAGTTGGTCAATAAGTGGAAAGCCCATGTCAAAGAAGACAAGAATCGGCGTATGCCACAATCTCTGGTATCCATGGACGGTAACGGCAGCGCCGCGGGGGGGCCACCGGGCGTGAAAGTGGCAGAGCTCAAGAAAACGCAGAGCGAACCGGGGATGAATGGGTTGTCGAATGGGCAGTCGCCGACCAGTGCGGACGAAAGGCGGAAGAGTATGAGAAATCCAAAGGCCAATATCAGCATCATATCGGACTTATAAAATGAAAGCGGAGTGAGAGGAAATGCAACCGGCCATACGGAGTAATGATATTGTATTCCAACCCCGAGAATATGCATATGTTCGTATCCAACCTAACACGCATATTAGATATGACTGTCCATCAACACCATGGCCAAAAGGGGTCATCATCTCATGTCAGATCCATATTGTACGTTTTAAAACCAAGTATCCTGCCCATCTTCCGAACGTAACAACCCAGAAATCGACCTTGCTTTCGCCGAAACCTTGTTCTCCAAATCGTTTTCGTCGTCAAGTTGGAAACGCACACGCATGTGGACGCGCACAGCGTCTGAGAGCGTTATTCCTCGTCTTCTCCCTCCTCTACCTCTTTCTCCCGTTTCGCGAACAGGCTGACTCGGTTTTGGATCGCATAAATAGCGTAGCCCACAATGGCCAGCACCACGAACAGGATGATCACAATGATCGCTATTACGTAGTTCCTTTGCACCATGGTTCCGATCGATTGGAGACTGCGTAGAGGACAAAGAAGGCTGTAGTCGAAAGCTGCTCGCGCTTCCGGCTCTGTGGTCGTGTGGGATCGGTTCGCTCTGGGTCCGCAAGTGACTTAAATTGAATGTGCGAAATCGGGCAGGAGGAGGTGGACTAAGCCGAGGTCCACAAAGGAGTGAAGCACTGTCGGGAAGTCTTCTTATGGTAACCGGTTCTGATTGATAGATTCGAGGAGAGATCACACGTGGCGAGGTAGGAGGCGATGCAAAGGGTAGACAGGGACCACAACTAAAAGCAGAGACAACAGTTTGCAGTGCCGTGGGATCAATCTTGAGAGGGTTTGACCAGAATGTCCTCAAGACAAAGTGAGAGAGTCTATATCGGGAATGATGTCAACAGAGTATTGGTGTTTACTTCCTGTGGTTTCGTGTTTGCGTTGCAATAGAAGGCTGCTGAGGAAGATGGAATGTTACAAAGAATTTCAAGCAACGAATGGACTACATGTAGTTATCCGCGAGCACGAAGCCCAGCCTCGCAGATGCTCTGAACTCATTATGGTGATGGCTGGTTGCGAAGATGTGGTGGTTGGGAGCAGCGAGGCAGGTAAAGTGGCAGGTTCTCCTCGCTGCGAGGCTGGTTCCAACTACTCCACATTTGGAAATCGTGAGGCTGACCTATTAATACCTCCGTCCCACAGGAATGCCAAGACCAACCGTCTTCCAAAGTTTTGATCTTGCGGACCAGCCTTCTGTCCCCTCACATTATGTTGTTTTTTGGGAGACGAGAAACCACCCAAGCTCTGACCACTGACCAGCATATCCAACGACGTTGGCATTCTTCGCCCTTAATTCACCTGGCGACGGAATGGGTAATTCCGATTCTAGGCTTCCAGTGACTACAGGCAAGTAGCCATGGACGTCCAAATCCGACTAGGCCCTAGTTCACGTTCTAGCGCGGTTGCACGCCCTGCACATCTAACCAGTCGAGGCAATAGAGACAAGCACATTTGTTTTGGAGCTTTAGATAAATAAATTTCACCAGATCCTCGTGCATACTCATATTCTTGCATGAACTCAAGGAAGACTGCGGATGGCTCGTCTCTTATAATCCAGACGGCTCTCTGGTCGCTCTCTGGTCCTCCCTATGCACTTGAATCTCTGTTATCCCTCAAAAATGAATATCTCGAGTGTTTCTCGACAAGTATGGCTGGGTGTGTCTCTCAAAGCTTTCTTCGTCTTTATCGCTACAATTTACTATACTTGCATACCTTATAGCCAGTGACTATTCTCGTGTCCTGCACCTACCCTTTGTCCTTCAACCAGTGTGACCTTCACTCCATTGTTACATCATACCCTTCCCACATGATACCTAGATCCATTCTGCTCTGGTCTGTCTCATTGTTTTACAACATAACAAAGAACAGTGCTATGCTGTTGTATCACACATTTCTCTCAAATTCGCCTTGTCCTCCACTCAACAGTCCGACAGACTCATACACCGATGCTTGACCCGCTGGCCACCCTATCCTATGAGCACCGTTAAGCAAAACGGCAGAATGTCGAGCCAAAGGCTTGACACGTCTTGCGTCAGATTTGAATTGGATAAGGAAGTGCGATCACCGAGGACGCCGACATATATACCAGATTCCCTATCATCTAGCTCAGTGTCACCTTTCGATCACACTAAGTACTTTGCTGAACCTACCCTTGAAGGTGACGACCAAGAGCCGATGTCTATTGCACCTCAGCAACATCCCATGCCATGGACATGGATTTGCCATTTGTGCCATTCACGATATCCCCTTGGCGTAACGCGCCGATGCTTGGTTGACGGACACTACTACTGTTCAGGCCAGACCGACTGGCCCAGCCTGAAGAGAAAGAAAAAGCCCAGGGCATGTTCGAGTGAATTTGACTACGCGGCATGGAAAAACTGGGGAGCCTGGCGCCGAGGAACTCTCAAAATCCTCCAGAATGAGAGGGTCTTAAAGGGCTGCGAGTCCTGTGACTTTCCAAGTCAATGTCGGTATCCTGTTGATTCACACCCGCTTAGTGATGCAGAGGCGGCCCTGGTGTATCCGAATGCCTCTGTTAGCGAAACATTGCAAGAATTAGAAGCGAAGATAGAGGAACGCAGAGGCAAAAGTGAAGGCGGATCGAATGCGAATGAGAACGTCGGCTTTGACCAAATATTGAAGAACATCTGCCCCAGTACGAAGTCACAGACACCGGGTTCACAAAAGCTGTCCAATACAAAGCAGCAAAACAAGAGTATGTCACGGAGCAAGGAAAAACGTTCAGTCAAAGGTCCGATCCGTGCATGGGAGGAAGAAGCGCCCGGAGAAGAGAAAAGGTTGCGGGAATTGGTCGGACCAGATCTTTGGTCGTGCTTGGAAGATGTTGGTTTGGACAATGGGCGGATTGGGTGAAGGCTCACGGCGTTGATTTTGTACAGGGCAAGAATATTCTCTTTGTAAAATGTTATTGATGTATCGGCTCTCTACTTGTCTCGGCATACTCCATCTATTTCCCAACCAAACTGCCAACATACTCTGCAATTGCCAACATCTTCTCTTCCGTAAACCTTCGTCCGACAAGCTGCAAACTAACGTGAGCGCCATCATATAAGTCGGCATCATAAGCTTCGAAAGCCTCCTTGTCTTGGTCGTTGATTGGTGTGTATCCTTCAGCATACTTATCGATCTTTTTGTCTGCAATCGTAACCGGTACAACAACACTTGTATAGTCGAGCCCATTCACAAATACACTATATCCGTAATACTTGTACAATTGGGGTCTCGCAGCCGGGTATGGCGCAAGAGGGCAAATGAAACCATCCACAGGTTGACCCGTCTGTGTCAGCTGGGCAGTGCTATTCCAATAATCCAAGTATTGTTTCTGGTATTTGCGCTTCTCAACGTTGTTGGCGGCGATTTGTGATGCCGTCATTTCCTGCGTCGGCGCGTCGCCATAGCTCATTTTGATTTGAGGAGACATGGGCTCACCAGCAATTGCAAAAGCTCCGTGCACGTCCTTACCGCCATCATATGCCCATGTCTTAAATGTAATATCCAAGATTTTCTTGTGCGAGGGTGGTTTCCACTCAATGATCTGATGTCCCGCCTTAGTAAGAGCCTCGGCGAGCATAGATACCGCTCGGGCAATGGGCGGCTGAGGATTCACGATGCCATCCGATTTCAGCACACCGAAGCTGAGTTGCCCTTTCTGAGAAGAAGACTTGACAATATCGTGAATTGCTTGTTCTTGGGCATCACGCCACGGCATGTCGACAACCAAAGGATCGTGAAGCCATGGCTTTTCCGAGAGGATAGCTTTTGTGAGTAGTCTGACAGCTCGAGCGGTAGTGGCGAGTGGACCGACAACGGACAAGACACTGTTCTGCCCATCCATGCTGTTGGCCATTCCTTCATAGGGCAGCCTCCCAAATGACGGTCGAATACCGTAAAGCCCATTGAACGCTGCAGGAATGCGGATTGATCCCCCAATGTCAGTCCCGAATCCGCCGGGCGATCCCCTCAATGAAATCAGGGCACCCTCGCCCCCAGAACTGCCACCGGAACAAAGGTACCGGTTCTTGGGATTCCAAGTATAGCCAATAATGTTGTTGACAGTCTCCCCACTCATCAACGAATGTGGGACACTGGTCTTACAATAAAGCACAGCACCTAGGGCCCTGAGCTCTCTCACCATTTCACTTTCATACTGGCCTTTGCGTGGATCATCAACTTTGCCTTCAAAGGTTCCTATCCAGCCAACGTATCCCATCGAAGTCTCGACGTTCTTGACATGGAACTGATCTTTCAGCGACACAGGTACTCCATGAAGCGGCCCGACGGTTTTTTTGTTCTTTGCGAAATACTCGTCAAGGGCTTTGGCAGACTCTAGGGCAGCATCAAAGAAAGTCTCATGCAGGCAGTTCACCAATTGATGGGCCAAAGAGGCTCTGTGACAGAATGCTTGGGTGACATCAACCGCAGACCATTCACCGGCGGCGACCTTTTCAGCGATGCCAACAGCATCGGTTTCGGTGATTGTGGTCTCTTTCTCATCGAGGAATTGCTGAATATAGGACCCAGTAACGTCTTTTTGCTCTTCCGGGCTGGGGATCTTTTGGAGTCGCCATTTCTCGGGAATGGAGCTCAGGATAGCATCTCGCTTTGCCTTTGCAAGCGTTTCCCAGTCGGCAACCATGGTAGCGGATGGAAATGAAATAAGTGGTAATTTTTCAATGTCCTTTATAAGGAAGAGCACGAACTGTTCGAGAAACGTCTTCCGTGTTGTACCCCTCGCGAGATGGTTCGGTTATATGTGGAGGTACAAGTCATTGCTGTTTGGAGACGCACATCTCCACCACCAATTGGTGCGGAGATTAGAACAAATTGATAAGGAAGACAAACTTCTCCTGCCTGTTTTGGGCATGATTCCATCACTCCGAGTTGGCGGTAGTCATCCTTCTCGATCTGCTTCCAAAGCAAAAGGGTGGGATTCATTCAGTCATCTGACGGACATTCAAGTTGATCCGTTTCTTGCTCATCCATCCTCGCCAGTGCTGATATGGTCCTCTCTGCGCAATATCCGGCCAATCCTGCAGCCATGCTGGACAGGTGCCTGGCAGAATTTTTGGCACGCCATGCCAGGCATACCTGGATTTTCCAGACATGACGATGGCATCCCCAGACCTCAACCGAATGGCAGCTGCGTCGATGCTGTCTTCGTTCCCAACAAGAAAGATAGCATCGCACCCAAAGCTGATGCTAATGAGACTGTTACCGGACGCCTCACTGATGTCTCGATGCACACTTAACGTATCTCCGGGGCTGTAGAAATTGACAATGGCGGCCTGGGCGTCAACGGTAGGAAATATCTTTTTCAAGAGTGCAGCTATGTCCTCAGGGAAAGGCGGCGGTTCGCCGTCGGGATAGATCTTGTTCGTCCAGTCGTACTGACCCCCCAGAGTCACCCATCGCAATTTGGATCCAAGCATCTGTGCTGATGTGATGGGTTTGTGGATTGCCGGATCCTTCGGGTAGATCACCATGTCGAGGCCTGCAGCGAAGAAGGACGAAGGAGACGGATCATCAACTTTTGGCGGGTAGGAGATGTGATGATGGTGGTTAAGGTTAGTCTTGTGGGCGGGATTAGAGAGATCACGATGAAGTAGCCTGTCTAACAAACCAACTTGAAGCCGAGGAGGTAAGAGGCAAGGGAATACGCGTAGGCCTACCCCATGTCAGCTGCGCCGTGAGATAGCAGACAGCAGTGCGAGCGAACCAGGTATTCCATTGACCTCGAAGGCTGCTCGTGCCGGTAATGTGATGTCTTGAAGACCGAGTGTCGCGTCGTCCGTGGCATTGTCGAGGAAACCCTTTGTCCAGATGTCGAAGTCACTTTGTCGAAGAATATCAGACTCCGGTAGTGCTGACACTTTATTCACATCCGGGTCTTGTGGGTCGATGATGCCCTGATCAGCTTCAATTTCTGCTGCAGGCCGTTTCCGCCATCGCTTGAAAAGCTCTCGCATATATTCAGGGGGTCTGGCCTGAGTATTATGCATCATCAATACTAGGGCAATCCCGATCCTTTCCCAAAGTCGGAATGGGCAATTTGTCTCTGTCCTGGCCAAAATGGACAGCAAACCGGGAAAAGCAGAATACGGAGGTAAATTGTCAGAGAATCTCTGTTGGCGACATAATTGTTCAAAGTACATAGGAATGCCAGGATGCCAAGATGAGTATCAAAACTGTCGTGAGCTTGTCTCCTTCGGGACGTGGGTGACGCCGCCCTGTACTCACTCTAGCGCCCGCAGCCCACATCCGGAAATATCCATATGGCGTTGTGCTATTATTATTAGATACATTCAAATTGATGTGTTGAGCATTAGAGTACTGCCTCGTAGTACTTATTGTCATCGTTCCCATCCTGCTTAGTTGCCTAGGTAGACTCTCCCATTGAACAGTATTACTTTCATCCAGATTCAAGTTACTACTGGTAGGTGCTTGTACCCAAAAGGGACTTCAGTTTCGTCCTCCGTACACTGTGTGTTCTATGCATATACGACCGGACTTCTACGGGATGGACGCAGAACAATTTTGACCTGAACGATGGGAGGAACATGTGCCTCTTAACGACAATCTGACCAACTCAAGATGGAGATGTCTTCCCCTCAATGGTGGCCGCAAACATATCTAGGAATGGATGTTGGTCTGACTGAGGCGGCATCATCGATCACGCGCCAGCTTTACTAAATAGCAACCTGAAACTTTTCATTGAGCTCTAGATTACACAGTATTAGTCTTGTGGAATTGGCGAGCCCAAGCGCAACAGAAGGCGAGGGTTCGAAATAATACTTGCAGCTCTGCCTCGTAGACGGATGTGGAACGAGACGTCGGGCCATTGTCGGCCCGTGGCTGCGGTTTCACTTCTTCAGGCGACATGCCGTAAACAAAACACATCAACTCGGTTCGTGTGGCACCAATGTTCGTCCTTGGAGTCGCTTTCTCCCAGGGAGGGCTCCCCAACTTCTTCTCCTAAAATACTTTGTATGTGGTCATATTGATAGAGCCTGTATCGCACCCCGGGCAATGGGTGCCCCGCAACTTGAGAACTGACCGAACCCTGTCTAAAGCATGGCCGCAATTGGCGACGACAGTGAGAGCGACACCAGCCATCTGAACCCCAGAGCGAGCGTGGGTTTTCGTCAGCCCGTACGAAGTTGGGAATCACCTGCTAACGTTCTACATATTAGCTACGTCAATCATCATACATTGATCCCGCTACTGGCACACGGTTGAGCAAGACATTTACCCTCCACAACTTCGACCATCCCGATGCCTCTCGCCACGACGTGGACGACACCACTCCTTTACTGGGACAAGTTGAAGAATACCGTGCAAGCGGTCCTTGGCCCAGCCATGGCTTGTTGGTATCAAAGAGTTTGGAATATGCGAGCCGGGCCAGGCGATTCATGCTCTCGGATACGGGAAAGGGGATCTTCAAGTGCGCTCTGGCGTATCTCTTGGGCAGCCTGGCCACCTTTGTTCCCCAGTTGAGCAAAGTGTTTGGCAAACAGAACTCGAAGCATATGGTCGCCACGATCACAGTCTATTTTCATCCCGCGAGATCTCTTGGGAGTATGTTAGATGCTCTGCTTTTGGCTACGTCTGCGTTTCTCTACGTGGCTGTTGTGTCCCTCCTCAGCATGACCGTCGCCGCCTTTTTTGCAGATGCTGTCCACCTTATTGAGCTTGGACATGCCATTGTTCTAGTTATCTTCGTTGGAGGCGGTCTGGGACTTGTCGGTTGGATTAAGCTTAGGAGGAATGATCCTTTGGTGAACATAGCATGCTCTCTGGCCTCCCTCAGCCTGGTCACTATCCTCACGAAAGAAGGAGCTGTTCAGGCTGGCGAC